TATGTTGCTTCTGTCTGTCTGCTGGTTCAATAAAGTAGGACTCATCAGTGTGTCTTGAACATATTCTACAGATTTATTCCATTGATTGATTGACTTGATTTCTCTCCATCAACCCCGCAGTGTTCAGAAGCTCAGCGAGTTTTTCTCAAGCGATGAGATTGGAGATGAACAAGATCCCCGCGTGACATTAACCTCTGGCTCCAGCAATCACAACCAGAATAGATACCAGGCCGTGGTGAGTACATGGAAACTCATCTGTTATGGGTCGGATTCAATTAAGCGATGAAACGGGACAAAATGTGTTTCTTGCGCTCCCCTGCTGCCGTGTGCAGGCCTCTCACTGTGAATGGTGTTTTCTTCCTCCATCTCATTGTCTTCCTTTGTGTCTGGTGTTGCACGGCCTTCCACTAGCCTTCCTCTAAACCTCTCCCTTCATCCTCCTCCTCCTCCTCCTCCTCCTCCTCGTTGGCTCAACACCTTCAGCCCTTGAAGGTGGTAAACCGGAAGCATCCCCCGAGGGACGACTGGAAAAACTACAACTCTCCGGGGGACCACGAGGGTGACGGACCCTACCAGGACATGGACCAAGACATCTGTTTCAAGGTGAGAAAGACGAAGGGACAAGGTGTCGTCCTCCACCACATGTCCTCTGCTTAGATGTGGCAGTTAGAGGGGCAGTTAGGAACATTTAAACTTTGTTTTAAAGGTCAGTAGTTTTGAATTACACTGGCTGGAGTTAATGAGGGAAAATGCACTTGTTGTCCAGGTTTTGTTCTCACCTTTTGACATTTCTTTGCATGGGACAAAAATCTGTCAATTGTGTTTTCTGTGTAATGTTTTCTGCCATCTGCTTGTTTTGAATAATCCCAAAGAAATGATTGATTAAAAGTTTAATTTTGAATTATGTCAATTAAAGGGAGCCTGGGGTCAGACACCATCCTGTGGAGGCGCAGGAAGAAAAAGATCAATACACAGAAAAATGCAGAAAATGTTTAATGTTTCTAAAGGCTGAGTGAAGCTCACCTTGACGTCTGCATGAGTCTGCACTTTGCTCTCCTCAGATAACCAGTGGCTATTTCACCTGGACGCATGGACCGCCAACACTCTCTAATGTGGACATCAAGATTCCTTTTGGTGAGTGTCGGGCGGTTCTGATGTACAATCTGCCTCCTGAAATCCCCTCTTTACCTCTTTCCGTGTGCAGTCTGCATCTGCCACCTTACTCTCTGGCTATTAAAACCTTGCAGGCAAGCTCACTATGATTGTGGGCCAGGTGGGTTGTGGAAAGTCGTCCCTGTTGCTGGCAGCACTGGGGGAAATGCAGAGAGTATCGGGAGTCGTCGCCTGGAACAGGTTAGTTACAGGTTCACTGGTCTCTGTCTGTGTCAATCAACTCGGGTGCTTCAGGGGAAACCGTTCAATCCCCTTTAGGTTTAAATTATTGAGCTGAGTTTAATGGGGGAAAAACTGTCCCCTGTGGACCATCCCTTAAACGCAGGGTTTGTAGATGGGCGCAGGACCATGACTCTGGTGTTTGTTCATCCTAATCATCTAGTATTGTGAAGTGCATCCATTTCTAAGCCTAAACGGTTCAATTAGACTCTATGAAATGTATCTTTTAATGGGTAAAGGCATATCATCCTGATATATTAATACATGTAATTATAAAGTAGTAACATACATTTCCCCTCAGGGAACTGCTTCATTGAAAGAAAATTGCTTCTGAAACATACCGCCACTGATATCATGTCAAATGTTTTCTTTCTTTTCCTTATTCTCAGCCTGTGAGGAAAATCTTGCTTATATTTCTTCATCCCGGTACAATTGGGGAGCTTTAATTCCGCCCTTTTCATTCCTTCACTGCAAACAATAAATCCTGTGCCCTGGACAAGGCAAAGCAGTTAACATCACAATCAGACCTGTCGCTTTGTCACGGCAATATAACATACATGTATTTGTGGGTCAGTGAAATGAGCTGATATTGCAGCTTTTGGTGGATAGAGTGTAGAGAAACAGGAGGATTTGTTCACGCACCACTGACCCAAAATTAGTCGGAAGCAGATGCGGAAACATCCCAACAGACTTGCTGTGGCTGCAGCCAAGAAACCCCTTTAAAACACAGGACACCAACACAACAGCACGCTAACTACACACCTCCTGTTTCCCTGAAAAACAAAATCCCTTCACTTCGAAAATCACTGTAAGTCACTTTGGACTAAAGTGCTAAATCTGTATTTGATTCTCTAAACATAGGGACTCCTTTCTATTCAACCTCTTGTATCAAGCAGGAAATCTCTGCCTCTGAGTTGAGAGCATTTTTATATTTATATAATATTCTTAAAAGGTCACCTACATTTTTAAAAATCTTTTTTTCCCCCATCCAGCCTCATTTTTATTTAGTTCAGTTAATGTGACACTGATGCCACTAATTAGGGAATTGGTCGGAGAGGAGCCGGCCTGAGGCCACCACCCACACGTATAATGAAGTAATTAGGCAAACCGTAGTTTCTTGGCACGTGTCACGTGATCTTCCACAGCAGAGGGAATTGTGCACATGGCCCACTCCATATACGGCACGGAGCTCTGAAGCGCGTCTCCGGGACTTCTCTGCATTTAAAGTGGTTAACTATTTATAGCTTAGCCTCAGTGGCCAGTTAAAGACACGCAGGTCGGATTCCTTGTTTACAGTTTGGTTTACAGTCACCTAAACTGGGCAGCGCAGCCAGTTCTGTAGGACCCCCCCAAACCCGGGGGGCTCACCCGCTGCCCCGAAATAAGAGTGTGAAACAACAAGTGCTTCAGGAAAGACAATCAGTCTGCAGTGTTTTTCCAGGGCCGTTAGGCTATGAGGTCATTTTCCTTGTACTGGTACTTTCATTTGGTTGTTTGACATTTTTTACCCTTGATAATGGAGGGAATGTAAACCCCGCTACAAAAAAAGGAAATTTGATATTTGACGAGATTATTTTAAAATTCTCTTGCTTACAGCTGTCGCATCAAAGCGGCTGCAGTTCACTGGTGCAAACCAGCGCTCGCTTCTGGCGTCGACTGAACCTAAAAATACTCCACAGTTTCAACTGAGCATGTATAAAGCTCAAAGAAGCCCATCAGACTCTACCAGTCTCTATCTTGATGATTATGTGCATGTGTGTGTTTGTACTGTATGTGTGCACACTTAAAACAGTACATTCTAAAAATAAGAGTTCAGAGTTTCACGGTACATTTTTAATTACACAAGTATCCCCCGAGTAAAGTTTTAACTGTACATTTAATACGTTTCAGTTGGAACAGGGACAGAATTGTTATGCACACTTCATGTATTTTCTTTCTTTGCAGCCTGCCGAACCTGGAGTCTGAGGGAGATGAAAGGTAAGTTAAAACAATCAGTGCCATCATGTGCTTTTCGTTGTGCCTTAAAAGACTATTTCAAACCAGCCTGAACATCTGAGGATACGAGTCAGCGCGTGTTGATTACAAATTATGGGCCGCACTGAATAACCCAACATTTTCCAAGTGGACTATTTTTGACGGGAGGAGGGACATTTAACTCTGCTGCACATAAACAACAGCAGGCTGAGCGCTGTAAATGCCTCAAAGAGCTTCATGCTAACCACTGGTTCGGATAACGCTAATGGGGGTTGTTATTTTACCATGATAGACTTTCGGGGAGTTATTGTTCATACTTGACATGACGTTTTTTTTTTTTCACTCTGGAATTACACACACGCGCGCACGCACACACACACACAAACACAGTGGGATCCATGTGGCCTTTTACAATTATACAAGCGAACAGCTTGAACAGGCCTCGTGTTGAGGTACTAATCACAGCCCGAGGAACCCGAGCCTCTGAGAACTGAAACGCCTCCAGAGACCTAACGCGTTTATGCCGATTTGCATATCACCAACTTCCAGCAAGGAGAAATTGCAAAGGGGCCGGTGGCCTTATTTTTAGGGAGGGGGGTGTGTGTGTGGGGGGGGATAAGATCACTGCCAATGATAGATGTGCTCATATACGGCGGCTTAAGGCCGGTTCGTGTTTGGCGTGCTGAGCAATGATTGCCATAGTGAGGAACGAGTATATGGTTTGTTTGTTATCTGTTAATCATTTCCTGACAAAGGGGACGTCAATCACCTGTTTGTTTTAGAGGGAACAGTGTTGCTTATTTAGTGTTTTGTGTGACTTCTTTTCTCTGTAGTCTCAATGACAGAGATGCAGCAGGTGACGGAGAAATCAGGTGAGTTTAGACAACAGCAGACGGGTCACCGTGGAGACCATAACCACCATAATCAGCAGAGCAGAACAGCAGTCCTCGTGCCTTTCTAGAAATCCACTGACAATAACAGAGAACAATGTATTCTGCTCACGTATCTACCCTGCCAACCCTCAGCTGCATGCACCGACTTCCAGATTCTGAGGCTGAGGACTTTTATTAATCATTGTTCGAAACAGAAAAACTCATTCAGAAGTCGCATGAAGAACAGATGGTTGATTGAGCGGCACTCGTTCGTGTGTTTGAAAACCTCTGGCAGGAAGAGAGGTGCCGTGGGCTACGCCTCCCAGAAGCCTTGGCTTTTGAATGCGACGCTGGTGGAGAACATCACCTTCGAGATGCCCATGATCCAACCCAGGTACGGTGTCACACGCCGCCTAACAAGTGGCTTTAAAAAGGCTGTAGTGAAGGTTGTGTCTTTTTTTTGGTGCCGTTATGTTAATGACAACGTGTTTCACATTTCAAGTAATGCAAACAGATGGGACTTACTCAGAGCTCCTTCTTTTAGCACTTGATGATTTTTGACAGAATTAACAATAAAGAGATGAAGGACTCCATTGGCAACGCTCTCACTGAACGAGCATGCATTTGTCCATCATAAAAATGTATATAAACTTTACTGGTAAATCAGGACGTTGCCTGCGGAGCCGGGTTACTGTAATGACTTTCCCTAGTTAACTATATCGCAACAGTATGAAAGACCATGTTGAAAGACGACCGAACACATTTAGTTACCGTTCTACACAAGTTTATTTCTTCATGCATACATCTACTATATACGATTTCCTCGCACCCCCCTGCTAGTGTGGAGTGTCCCTGCTATTCCCAATACATCACAGTTACAATATTACATCCAGTTCCCTGTTAAATACAAATATGATTTCTGTTAATTACACACAAATGAGTGTGATTAAGTGCAAACGAGGAGTAAACATTTTTATTTGAGCGGAAAAGTGTAGCAGTTTGTCGATTTGTCCTACAGCTTTTTCAAACCTGTTGAATAGTTTTAGTACGAAATGCTTGTGGATGTGCTGCAGTCAACTACTTTGACATTCAGAGTTGTTAACACAGTAATTAATGTTATGTCAGCGCCAGCCGTCGAGACAAAATACATCCAATAACCTTCCCGCTCCCCGAGGCCACGACGTTGAATTGGACGTGTGTGATGCGTGATTAAGTCAACGCGCTCAACAAAGTGTGCCTTCACAAATAAGCAGTTTTGACTCTTGAGACAACAGGATTTGTCTTGGGTGAACTTGTCTTTTGGTTGAATAGAGTTTTCCTAGTTTCACTCACTCCTGGTTCAACGACATATGCTGTTTTTCACATGCGTGAGCACAATCGAAAACACACACACATTCTCTTTTAATGACTCACACTCACATTAACCACGCTCACAATTTTCCTCCTCTCAACAAATGGCCTCTCTGGAAGGTCAGTTGCTTGGTTCTAATGGACTGTTTTCATAAAACAAATCTAATGGAGCGCTTTGGTTTGTTATTGTGGAGCCGTTTACCCGACCGCCCTTTTCTTTCTCTACACACATCGTTTTTCTTTACCAATAATACTAGTAGTTTTTGTTCCAGGTCAAACAGAGTTGCTGCCATTAACGGCTCACTGGAAAACTCTGCTAAACGAAATGGAACAGATATCACATCTCATGAATTAAACCAGTGTTCACCTGCTATTTCATCCCGCTTGGGAGGTACCTATATAAATATAATATATATGTAACCATGTTTATAGCTTGGGTCAGTTTTTTTAATATTCTTTAGTGAAAAAGCTTAATTGTCCAATTTTTTAGCATGCAAACAATTTCAACTCAGCTGTTTCTAGACACCAGCAACATTGTCATCCTGTCAGTACAGAGCTGCCAGTCTGGCCCGCAGTCTTAACATGGTATTTTACAGCTAACTTGTCCTTTTACAGTGCAAAGTTTTGACTTAAATTCTGTCTTACAATATCCTTTTATACAGCTGATGAGGAAACATCTCATTCATTCATATTAATCAACGTATTCTGGCCCGTGACTCTGTATTTTTTAGCTCGAAATGTTCTCAAAGATCCAGCAATAACAGCTGTCAAGCTTTCTTGAACAACCGAGGGTCGGCTTCCTGTCAACTACAATTTCAAGACCTTGTGCGCCGATCCAGATGGATGATACGGAGATGCCGAGACATTGGAAAGAACAGCGAGCGATTCACTTAAATCTGAACGAAGGACTGAAGCAGCCGTGGATTATTCCCGGTCTCTCCGTGTCCGTTGAAGCAGTGGCTGCTCACTTCGACACTTTGAAGTCCCACCACAGAGGCTGATTTTTCTATTCTAGCGAAGTTAATGAATCTTTCAAATTGATTTCCTGTCTCGAGGTTAATATTGAGCAGGCCCATGTCCTTCTGGCTGGTATCAGCATTAGTATTAGAGCTCATTTGTATTCGCTCTCCGCCTACCAGGTACGATGCTGTCATTGAAGCCTGCTCCCTTCAGCCGGACATCGACATCCTCCCACAGGGCGACCAGACAGAGATCGGTGAGCGGGTCAGTAAAGTTCATGATTTCCTTAGCGTGCCTTCATCCGTCTTTTCATTCTAAAGCTCCAAAAAATGAAAACCAAAGAGTCCAGATCTCGCCGGAGCTCCCACTGTGTTGCAGCATCATTTGTTGTCGTCGCTGTGGAAACAGGACTTGGTGTGAGTGTGCAGGGAGCTGGGCTGACCACTGTCATGTTGGATTTCGTCATGCACCAGTGATACGGGAAATAAGCTGCGATCTCCTTTGTCACTCTGGGGGCCGCTGCCACACGCATTAATGGATGTAATCCAATCTCTTTGTTGTAAATCTTGTAATAAAGTTGTCTGCCCTCTGGTGCAGGGTATCATCCTGTCAGGGGGACAGAAACAGCGCATCAGCGTGGCCAGAGCCCTGTACCAACAGACCAACGTGGTATTTCTGGTGAGTCTGGTGTCCTCTCACACTTCACCTTCGATCAAAAGAGGCTCTCAGATCTCGATCTGTATTCACAGTGAAACATCGCGGTCCGACGACTCGGATGTGATGCTATTTCTGATGCCTCCTACGTGACAAAAATAGCAATACGTTCTCTTAAGCTCAGCCCGATGCAACGTGGTTATTAATAGTCACTTTGATGACAATAGCGTCCATGAAATGTAAAGAGTAGAATAATGGTAGTAGTCAGTCAGACCACCTTCAACACAAATAATCAAAGATCTTTAATAATAAACTGAATGATTAGGAGTTTTATTCCCAGTCATTGATGTTTTACAGAGAAATACTTGACGCAGCTGTTTATCTGTTTGTGCCGTTCTTTTAGGATGATCCATTCTCTGCCTTAGACATCCACCTGAGTGACCATCTGATGCAAGATGGTATTCTCAAGCTCCTGAGAGAGGAGAAAAGGACAGTGGTTTTGGTAACACACAAACTTCAGTATTTACCACAAGCAGACTGGGTAAGACCTGTGTGTGTGTGTGTGTATCTTAATTAACCAAATTGTATATTTTCTTCGCAATAGTCGCACAAAATGATTATGGATTCTCCATATTAAATGTTGTCATTTCATTGGTCACGTAAACGTTACATCTGGGATGCAGACCCTTCATCTCAGAAAGAGAATAAAAATAGATTGTTAATGTCGGCTATAACGCTAAAGATTGCATTTGCTCTTGTTTCTGTTTGTGTATCTGTTTTTTGTTCTTAGATCATTGCCATGAAAGATGGCACTATCCAGACAGAAGGGACTCTGAAAAACATCCAGAAGTCGGAGCCTGAGCTGTTTGAGCATTGGAAGACCCTGATGCACAGACAAGACCAGGAGTTTGAGACGGTAATCAATTACTGACCAAATGCTGCCGCTGATCTGACCGTTGGCGGCTGCTTAAAATGACCACCTTTGATTGCCTGCATGTCTTTTGGTTTTGTGGAGAGAGGGACGAGCTTCTCCTTTTGTTTGTCCTCCAGGAGACCGAGGCGGCGAGTATGACCGATCTGGAGAGGAAAAACCTCCGGAGGGCCATGTACTCCAGAGATGTCGCCAGGACCGAAGAGGACGAGGAAGGTGAAAGAAAAGCTTGATTTTACGTCTGTTTGACTGCAGTTAGTCCTTCAGTCTGATTATAATTCAGCACGTCTGTGCTGATAATAATAATAATGGCGAAGTATCATTTCCCTTCCTCGGTTATTTGTAGCAGCACCTCTTATGTTACACAAAAAATTGGGCAGAACAGCTTATTTTTAATGTAACACTCGCTGCAATCACACGAATCCCCCGTGTGTCCCCTGTCCTTTATTCATTATATCCTGTCCATGCAAAAGAAAACAGGACATGGGTATCAAATGCTCAAGACTTTCTGCTGAGTCTGGCGTCTCATGACTTGGCTTCTCTTTGGACTTTTAGCAGCAACCAGATATGACCCCCCCCCCCCGCGCTGCCCGCCCGCAGGCCCCTGATGTGGCTAAACTCTGAATCTGATCCTTTATCTGTGTGTGTCTCTGCTGTTTGAATGTGCAGCTGTGGTGGATGGTGCTAAGGTGGCTGTCCTCTTTATCTGTGTTCTGTGTTGTCTCCCGCGTGCCGGTGGAGCCCCTGAGGTGACTTGTGAGATGCCTTCAGCTTTCTTGTTCAATGGAGCAGGTGTGGCCGAAAAAAGAAAAAAAGAAGAAGTCTGTGACAATTGTGACCCTGCAAGCAACCCGCAGCTATGTCAGCTCCCCCACCCTTCCTTCCTTCCTCCCCCCCATTTTAGAAGCTCACCATGTATCATTTACTTTTCCCCCATATTTCTTTCACCTCTGCTTTGTTAAACCCACCTAATGGCAGCATGATTGCCCAGTAGATGCTGGTCGCTGTCGTCTGTTTGACCCTGCTGGTCTTCCTCTCCGTTTCTTTTCTTCTCGTACTCCCCCGTTTTTTCCATCGGCTGGTGGACTCCCATGTGAAGCTTCTTGCCCCAAAGCTTGCTGCATGAAGTTACATGGCAGGTTGGGAGGAGGCAGTAGGTTGCAAAGGAACTCCTCAGACCCAGCCGGTGTCGTGGCTGTGCCTTCGCCCCTGAAGAAGATGCCATTCGTGCGAATGAGCATTTTGCTTGTTCCGTAAGAACATGGTTGTGGATGTCGTAGTCTTTAGATTAGTTTATCTGTGGTTGCTCCTCTCCTTTGGCCCTCTTTCTCTTCCCTCCTCTTCTCCTCCAGTCCTGTGGTATTAAATGCTAAGTGCTAGTAAATCTGAGAAATGTGCTCAACAGACACTGAAAACAGAGATAATGAAACATTTAGCAGGAGGGTTCGGACGAGTAGGAGGAACGTCCGAAAGGTCAGAGATCACGTGAGCAGTGAGTCAAAGCAGAGGAGTTAAATGCAGACATTAGTGTTGTAAGGCCAACATACACATTCACGTATTCCATCTAGAATAAAGAAAGAAATCAGAATAAATCAAACTCACTTTCAAAAAACATTTGAACTCACCTCTGTCTTAATCCCAGAGGAATCCGTGGAGAGCGAGGACGGCGAAAACCTGTCGCAGGTCATGCGACACCGTGCCACCATCCCCTGGCACTCCTGCGGCACCTACCTGTCCTCCGCCGGGGTCCTCCTGCTCACCGTGCTCCTGCTGTCCCAGCTCCTCAAACACACCCTCATGGTCGCCATTGACTACTGGCTGGCGCATTGGACGTCCAACGTCATTGCGGCCAAGATCGCAGCGACGGCTCGCAATTGTACCATTGTCAAGGTGAGCGGCTGAACCGGGAAGTGTGTCCTGGTCGCCGAGGGCTTTAGGAAGTCGTTGCGCCAATTTTCACCTTTTCAACGAGCAATTAGTCGATGAATTAGAATGAATACATGGAAGTAGAGGTTGCAGACCTATTTCAGATTAGGAGTGTTTGCTAATGCACCCTCAGGCAACTGCAACTCAGCAATCATAAATTATAAATAAATGACAGCAGATTTGATCACTTTCTCTGTTAACCCATAATAAAGTCGTAAAAGAACCAAACTTCATGAATGTTTTTTGTGACAAAGAAGCATCTGTTCCAATCAAAATGAGAAATCTGACTTGTAGAAATAATGGGAAACTCAAGAGAGCCACGACATTATGTTCTGTATAGAAACAACAGAAGAAAATCTGTCCCCAATTCAAACTTTCCCCTCTATTCAGTTTAAAGCTACTGTTCGTCAGCAACCTCTTCCCCAATAGACTCTGAAAACCATTCACAGGAGCACACACATAGTGTACACAATCACAGCACAGGCGAAGGTTAAGCTGCTTCATTCACACGTCGGGGTCACGCGCCAGCTGTTGGCAACTTCTCATGTTCCGGATATATTTGTGTCTGCGCGTGTCGGTCCTGTGAATTGTAACGCTAAGTCACATTTCGCACAGTCCTACAGAAGCCAAAGTAACTGGCAGGTTGCTGCCGGACAGCTATGAGAGGAGGAGAGATATTACTGAAGCTCGACACAACGAGATCTTCACCCTCCAGCTACACTAACTTTTATGGAGCCAAATCCAGGCCAAAGGTTTTGATCATTTGAAAACATTGAACTGGAAAGTTTTGGTTTAGATTATTTAAAATATAGCGAATGAAAAGTATTTCCAGGTCAAATATAGTTCAGTTCTTGAATTGTTTTGCATAAAATATTTATTTTCATTCTTCACTTAAATAAATTTTATCTGATATTTTTGAGTTGCAGATTTTTATATTTTCCTTCTTTTGGTCCTGATGTGGCTACGTGGGCGTAGCCTCAAGTGAGAGGGGCGCGTAATACTGAGTGCCAGCTTAACAAAGAAGGCCACACCTGTGAATATGGTGTCTAGCAATGTGAACCCCCCCTGCAGGGACCCTCTCCAGACCCGGATCTAACTGGGTACAGAGAGTAGACCTCTGACGGATGACCTGAGAGGCCCGATCGGCTTGTGTGCGGTTTAAACTTCTCGCTCACAATCTATTTTTATTGTTCTTCACACAGTTGTGTGACTGTCGGAAAGTGTGTGCCGTTATTTGAACATTTATCGCCCTTCTTCTTGGCAATGTGTTTTGCTTAAGTGAGATTAAACATTTTCAACATTTTCAATGTACATTGCTTCAGGCAGTCTGAGGGTGAGAAAAACAAATGAACTGTACTGAAGAATATCAAAAAATGTATATAGTATGTAAAGAAAGAAAATAAATATTTGATTCAAAACAGTGAATCAAAATGATATTGGACTTCCTGGTTAAATGTTCTATACTATTTAGCATATATATTTATATTCCTGTGTGAATGATGAGAGAGACGGACGTTGGATACTGTGTGTCCAGAGCACATCCGCATGTAGATTTGCAGAAAAAAATACTAGAAAGGTCTGATTCAAACTGAGTGAAATCACAGACGACGCAGGTGTCAAATTGAGGGGAAAACAGAGAACAGCGTCTCCTCCCAAAAAGTTGAAATGTTGCCAGATGAGATGTTTTAAAGCGTCGCTGGCCTCTGTTTCGACCCGGTTGTAACCAAGCCGCCCCCTCTCCTCCCCCCTCTGCAGACTTGTCACTCGTGGTATCTGTCCGTGTTCAGCGTGCTGTGCTGCCTGGGCATCGTCCTGTGTCTGGCCTCCTCCGTGGCTGTGGAGTGGACCGGCCTCAAAGTGGCCAAAGAGCTGCACCACGACCTGCTCAACAAGATCATCCTGGCACCCATGAGGTTGGACGCTCAGCGTGTGTGTGTGTGTGTGTGTGTGTGTGTGTGTGTGTGTGTGTGTGTGTGTGTGTGTGTGTGTGTTCTGCAGCTCTGCCTGGTTGTGTTCGGGAGAGACGTGAGTGTGCTGATAACGTGTGTTTGCTGAAACCGATCATTTAAGCAGAGGAACAACGCAAGAGCTTCTCTTTTCGCCCCATTACTCAGAGCTGCAAAGCACCATCTGCGGATAAACGTGTACTGTATCTACACTCACATACACAGCTAAATAAACACATCACTTTCACATTAAATAATGAAATTATCTAGCTGACCGCACAGCACATCTTTCATTTTGTGACATGTTGAAATATCTAAAGTATTATTATGGTCCCAAAGACTATGAGGGTGGACGTATTCTGGGGAAATGAAAGCGTAAATCACAGACTGAGTTTAACGCGTTTGTCCCTGCAGGCTGTTTGAGACGACTCCGCTCGGCAGCATCCTCAACAGGTTTTCCACAGACACAAACACAATTGACCAGCACATCCCCACCACCCTGGAGTGCC